AACCCCCACAGCGCACAAGAACGGGGGGAGGGGGGGGGGGGGGGGGGGGGTCCAGTGTAAGTAAAGTAAGAGAAGAGGAGCGAGCACAGTAGTAAACAATATAGGAAGTAAAATTTTGTGGAGCCGTCGTGACCCAGGTCCTGTAAGAATAGGTAGGAGTGAATCTGCTCACGGCTAGATGGCGAAACTTATTCGATGACCCGCCCAGAAAACCTGTTTCACGGATTGTTGACCGTTCGTGACAATCTCAGGTTGTACTACAAACAATTTTGAGATAAATGATAGCGGTAACTGAACTGGTAACTGTTCGGCTAACAACTTGGGTGGGTGACAGGGTGACTAAGTTGATGGTTTTCGTAAGTTTCTCGAAATAGGAGCGCTCATTCACCCCGTATTAGTTGGATGGATGGGGTGTCTTCACGCTGAGGGTGGCGTCAGAAGAAAATAAGGATCACCTTCCAAGCTACAATATCAAAAGTGCAACAGTCTAGTCACGGAAAACAACTTCCTCACCCATAGCCTCCCAGCATGACGATTGTTTATGACATAGTCTAAAGTAGAAGCTTTACTCGTTTTTTTGTAACGGACAAGCCAGGCGCGTTCAAGGTCCGTTCTCGTGATTATGATGATAAAAACAAATCTAGTGATGAGCGATGGTAAGCCTCTTTAGAAAGCCATGATAAAGTAAAAGAATCGAAAATCATCTAAAGCGGTAGTGGAAGTAGAAGAAAAACGGTAGTTTTGAAGTGGCGAACATCCGGGCGAGGTCATGGGCTTACCGTTACCCGTTCAGTCCACAAGTACGGAGCTGGGCCAAAAAGGCACTACTTGAACGAGGATGTGAACATATATAGACCAAAAACGTACTGAAATGTCACTACAATTTCGAAAAGTTGTCAAGATGGGCGCCATTCCAAAGAACGATCTTCACCGGTCACTCTACCTAATGTCCTTTATAAGAAATTTTATGGAATTCGTAATGTACTAGTTCAAAGTACATGAACTGGATTGGTTACCATAATACCTAAATTTGTTACGGTCACGTTCCTGAGCATATGACCATTGAAAAGTCATATGATCATTGAAAAGTTATACTCGGTCTGAAGTTTGTCGTTCGTATCCAAAAATTTCAACGTCAGATGTTCCAAGACAACTTTTGTCCTGACGCCTTCAGCCATCAAAATAGTTAACCCCTCTACTTTTTGGAAGAGGTCTTTCCTGCTCTTCTCCAGTGTGCCTAGACTACAGTTGAAAAGATGGCAAAATGGTCACGACGTTGGTATGACGACCACCCCTCCCAGAATTACATTTCAGCTTACTTAGATGGCATTTAAACAGATTTTCAGAAAGGCACCTGAATGTTTCGAATTCATCCTAGAACGTTCAGATGTTTCTCTGAGGAGAAGTCTTTCCTATTCCGGCGCTTCCCACAAGGCTACTGGGTGTTCGGCATCATAATTGCTTGGCCGGCCGTGTCAAGGTGAAGAATTATTTTCCCAAAAGGGCGCGTGTTGCTTATTCTTGTGATTCTTTCAGATAATTTCCATATTCAAATGTAGCGAATGACTCTATCAAATGAGAATGCTAGCTATGCCCCCTCTTGAAATTTCACCCTTAGAGTCGCTTATTTTTGATTAAATCGCACTCGGTGAACGGTGGAGGTGATGGAGTTTGATGGATGAGCTTCGTCGTCCCGATGCCGTTTTTGAAAATAAGTAGACGACTACGAACGCTGCTAGATTTGTAGGAATTTCGAAGAGGATCAGAGATTACAAAAAAGCCAAAAAA